AGAGGTGTTACTGACAGACTTTGCTCCTGTAAGATAAGCACTGAACTGCTGATCTACAGATAAGTGGAGGAAAGAGAAACGAGATAGGAAAAAGAAAAAAAAAAATTTGTACTGAATTATAGTCTCCCAAAATAGGTGTTGAAATTGTAATCCCTGTAACTGTGGATGCCTTCAGATGTAATGTAATCATCTTCCTTTGCACAGTCCAATATGATATATGCAATCAACTGATGAGTTGAGGTCATGCCAGTATACGACTGTTTCTGAACCTAGTCACTTCCAAGTTTACCAAGTTCAGTGGTTCATATCCACTAGCTGCCCCTCTGAAACCCTATACACAGGTTGCTATGAATCAAAACCAACTTGCAGCAACAACAACCACAACAACAGATATTCAGTAGTGTATTTGCAGATCAGTTTGGAAAATAATAAAGGATTGTGGATGTGCGTTTGAGGAAAGAGGGAGTGACTAAAGAGTATTATCCTCAAAAGGTGAATTCATTTCTTCATGCTGCTGTAGCAGAAATACCACAAATAGGTGGTTTAAAAAACATTAATTTTTTAAATTAAAGTTATGGAGGCTAAAAGTCCCCGGTCAGGATATTGGTTTGTAGATTCTTTCCATTGGAGTACTCCCAGTGTTCTTTCATTTCTTGATGAACATGCCCTCTCTCTTCCTCCGTGTATGTTTACTAGTCTGTGTGTAGAGACTGCCCTCTTCTTCACTTGGAAGTGACTAGGTTTAAGACCCACCATACACTGGCATAAGGAGCTCTGGTAGTGTAGTGGTTACGAATTGGGCTGTGAACCGCAAGATCAGCAGTTCGAAACTACCAGTTGTTCCGTGGGAGGAAGAGGAGGCTTTCTGCTCCTGTAAAGATTTACAGCCTCGGAAACCCTGTACAGGGTTGCTATGAGTCGAAACCGACTCCAAGACACATAATCACCACCACCATACACTGGCATGACCTCAGCTATCAGTTGATTACATAAATCACGTTAGAATGCATTATGGAAGATGATTACATTCTAGCTGATTGCAGCCACAAAGGCATAGGGGTTAGGATTTCAGCACTATTTTGGGAGAATACAATCAATCCATAATATAAGATATTTTCTCCATACTTCTTGCTTCTCTTTCTCCCACTTACTTTGCATTAAAAAGTTAATCATCAATAGCTACTTGTACCTTCATTTTTGTTGTTGTTGTTGTTAAGTGCCATCAAGTTGGTTTCCACCCATAGTGACCCTGTACAGGGTTTCCGAGGGTGTAAATCTATAATGTCTAAATGCTTCTTTTTTATTTGCTTGTTGTTGTTATGTGCCTTTGAGTCTATTCTGACTCATACTGATCCCATGATGGGTTTCTGAGGAGCAGTTGGTAGGTTTGAACTGTTGACCTTGTGGTTCGTAGTCTATTGCTGATCTGTAGTGCAACACCAGGATTCCTTTTATTTGCAAGCTTTATTATTTGGATAATTATATGAGACACTTTATTCAAAGACAGAATAAATATTGTGTTCTATGATAGAAGCATATTCTGGGATAGAAATTTTTTTAAAAGATAATTTTTCTATATCACTACCAAGTATATGACCTTGAATATATCTCACCTGAATTTAGAGATCATCTGTAGAACAGATTTGATACATTAAACACTAAAAACAGAAGACCAGAAGAGTTGTGGGATGACATCAAGAACATCATACAGGAAGAAAGCAAAAAGTCATTGAGAAGACAAAAAGGAAGGAAAAGGTCAAAATGGATATCAGAAGAGGCACAGAAACTTCTTCTCCAGCATAGAGATGCTAAAGCAAATGGAAAAAATGAGGAGGTCCAAGAGCTGAACAGAAAATTTCAAAGATCAGCTTGAAAAGATAAAGCCAAATATTACAACAAAATATGCAAAGATCTGGAATCAGAAAACCAAAAGGAAGAACACACTCAGCATTTCTCAGGCTGGGGGAACTGAAGAAAAAAAATCAAGCCTAGACTTTAATTATTGAAA